GAATGGCCATAGGACATCCACATCCACCAATTATTTATAACACTCCCCCTTGGATGTCCATGTCTTGATAGACAATATATATCGTTAAAATTATAGGGTTACTTGTAAACTGCTTAAAAGAACCTACTCATAGAGCTGCTTGTAAGTTGCTTATAGGAACCTACTTGCGGAACTGCTTGTAAGCTACTTGTAAGGATCTGCTTGTAAGTTGCCTTCTTGATTTCAAGCTTATTTAGAAAACTGTGTAATGGACGTCCACAATATGATGTATTTACTATTCATTGAAGTTTATTAATAGATAATGTGCCTCGTTAAAACCTTACTAGGAAAAACCCTGTGGGAAAAAAACCTAGTGAAGGAAGAAGAGTACACATATCTAGTAATACGCATTGAAGGCTGCCTCATTAAAGACCTTACCAAGAAAACCCAGTGGGAAAAACCTTGGTTAAGGGAAAAAGAGTGCAACATGTATTACTCCCCTGATTAAAACATCACTTAATTCTTGTAAAGGATATCTCTCAACCTTATACTTAGCCTCCTAAATGTTGATATTGATTGTATCTTTATGACCAAATTATATTCATGAAGATGTTGCATCCTTGAGCTTATTTTGATATATCGTTTTCTTGTCTGTTGTATATGTTGAGTTCATCCAATTACATTTTTGATAATCACTTAGTTTGTGACCTCGTCGGCGTAGATAAACTGTTTGTTTGACTTGTTAGTAGCAACAACCAAGTACTAACGGACACTTCCACTTGTATAACAATAAAATTGACTGCCTTGTGGAATGATTTGATATGCTAGTATTCCCAGATTTTCTTGAGATAAAACTTCATAATTTCCTACAATTTCATAATTAATAAACCTTGACATGATTGATCAGAATAAATAATTTGTATCGATATTTCATTCACTCTAATATTTCCATCGATAAGAGTGATGTTATATTTTTCATGCATACTAAAATTATTATACCATGAATAATAGTAGTAGGATACATACGTGCACCAATTACACTATGACATGGTACTTTCTAACCATTTTAATGAGATCGAAATTGATCTTTATGTTAAGTGATCTTACAACCATTGGGGTACTATTCAATGGAAGCACTTTAAAATATTTTAAATCCTTCAGAAATTTTCATATATTATTTACTGTCTAGCTAGACATGATAATCATTCACCATGTGTATTCAAGTTTTTCATTTATTGTCAGACTGAAAGAAACCTCATTGCATCCACCTTGGGAGTATACATCTCCATACAATAATGTCAGGACTTTTGTGAAAAATCTTTATTTTCCAATGCACAAGTATTACTTCATATTTTACAATTTCACTTATCACACAATAATTCATTTGTACCCCACAGACATTATATCTTGGTATATGGACAAAATAAGTCCAAAACATCACTTTTTTAAGTGAATAAAAATATACTTGAATTGTATTTTCTTTGCTCAATCATTTATCTATCAAGAGTTGATAGATTTAATATCAAGATCCTCATCACCATTTATAATTTGAGCACTATATTATATTCAAGATATCGTCGATGATTATTTGATATCGATTCTAATGCGATATAACTTATCAAGCTCACTTTATTTTTCATCATTTTCAGGTACCTAAACCTTTGCCAACATCTTATAAAGTGTTAAGTCATGGTGCTCTTTCTAAAGAACTTGCCTCATTATTATGACCATCTTGATCATTTGATTCTTTTCTTCTTCAAGAAGTTTTATCTTTCGAATAGAATAATTTATCACGCTTCAGGCATGTCATAAATTATGTCCTTCAAGGACATTAGAGCATTTATAACTGGATTATAACATAGGGTCAGCGAATGCGTCTGACAATTGACTTAAAGTATCTCTTCAACGAGGATCATATAATTCATTATGTATAACTTATTTTCTAGTTGCTTATCATTCCTGCCCCTACTGTTAGAGAATCTAACATTCACTCAACCTTATTTGGGGACCCATCTTTGTGCATTGCGTAATGGTGGAGAAATGGAATAATATACCGCACATTTAAATTTTTAGTTGAGAATTATTTGGTTCCTGACCCTGAACCAATTGTGATTGGGGAACCTTGTTGGCTTGATACATACAAGTGTTGTTAAACTTTAAATAACACATCTTATACCAAATTTCTTTTGGGAGTTTTGTTCTCATAACCAATGGTATAGCTATAATTGGAGGCATATCATTTTTCCTTAAACCACTTGGATATAAACCAACATCATCATTATAATTTTTTGGTAACTGTAATATTTTATTACCTGATTTGCAATATGTACAAAATTTGAAACTCCGGATGTGGACAGTTTCCACTCTCAGAGTCCATCTAATTCAATAGAGTTCCTTCTTGCTAGTACTATTCTAAGGATAGAAGTTTAGCTTTTGCATAAAACCTATAAATCTAGGGATCATACCAGCTCTACAATGTATGCCTTGGATGATTGCTCTATTGATCATCTCTATGTTCCTTTCCTTGTTTTGAAAGATCATGTAATTCCGTTCTTGCCAGATGTAGTAGATTGCTGCTACTAAAGTCATTCTGTATACCTCTGCTATTATTGTTTTACTTGAATCATGCTCTACAACCCAATTCAGTTCCTCAGTCCATCCATTACTAGCTCTATTAATTGATAGCCAGTTCAGGATTTTTGTCATAACATTCTTGAGTAGATACACGTAAAGAATAGGTGCTGGTGGGTTTCATTAGCTTCCATGCAGAGTGGACATAATGTATCATTTGTGATCCCCCATCTTGCTAGTCTACCTCTGGTGTAGAGTCTTCTATTAATAGCCAAGTACAGTGCAAAGATCCATTTAGGACTCCCCTGGTTGTTGCAGGTCATTCTCCTCCAGGGAACCTTGATATATTCACCCCTCAGCTTCTTATACATTGCATTGATACTAAACTCATCTGTCTCCATGACTTCTGCAATTTGCAAGCCCTTCTCTTCAAGCCAATGCCCTGCCTGCAGAATTTTCCTCACTATCCAGGAAGCCTGATTTGCTATTACTTCCCATGGTTTCCTACCTTTGAGGTAAAAGGTATGCACCAATACAATCCACAGTTTGTCTTTCTTCTTGTTTAGATCCCATAAATGTTTTAGTATAGCTGCTTTATTCCACATGTATATGTCAATAACATTCAGTCCTCCTGCTACTTTTGGCCAGCAAAGTATGTCCCATGCAACAAGTGCCTTCCCTTTAACTTGTGTCTCACCATTCCATAGAAACCTTTTACACATTGTTTCTATTCTTTTCAGAACTTGATTTGGTAGCATGAAAATTTGTGACCAAAAAGCTTGCATAGATATTATTACACTATTGACCAATTGCAACCTTCCTGCATATGATAAGAATTTGACAGTCCATGTTGTAATTCTGCCCAGTATCTTGTCTATTAAAGGTTGGCATTGCCCTACTGATAGTTTCCTTGAGCTCAAAGGTACTCCAAGGTATCTAAAAGGAAGTAGCCCCTTAACAAAGCCTGTATTATGTAGGATTACTTTCTGCATTTCTACTGACACACCTCCAAAATACACACAGTTGTTGGCGAAAATGCCACTCCAAAGAGTCATAGGCCTTCTGCATATCTATCTTGAACATACATCTTGGGGTGATCCTTTTTCTACCATACCCTTTTACCAGTTCATGACCAAGGAGTACATTATCAGTCAGCATTCTGCCAGGCACAAAAGCAGCCTGACCCTGATTTGCTATGAGTCCAGACACCTTTGAGAACTATTGGAAGCACTCATACATGAGGGTAGTTGATGATTCATCTCCTCTGCTAAACAACAAAAGGTCATCAACAAAACTTAATTGGATTATGTGTTGTCTGTGACATCTAAGATGATACTTAAAATCTGGATTTCTTCTCAATGTTTTCAGCAATCTTGTGAGGTAATCCATAGCCAAGACAAACAAATAAGGGGACAGAGGATCCCCTTGTCTCACCCCTCTCTTTTCTTTAAAAGGTGCACTAGGATATCCATTGATTAATATAGAATAAGACACAGTCCTAACATAACTCATTATCCATCCTATGAACCTTTGAGGGACTTGCATACCAGCTAGAACTTCCTCCCGAAAATGCCACTCCAAAGAGTCATAGGCCTTCTGCATATCTATCTTGAACATACATCTTGGGGTGATCCTTTTTCTACCATACCCTTTTACCAGTTCATGACCAAGGAGTACATTATCAGTCAGCATTCTGCCAGGCACAAAAGCAGCCTGACCTGGATCAATTAGATAATTCATCACAATATGAAGCCCATTTGTGAGCATTTTTGAAATGATCTTATATAGGGTAGTGCAACAAGAAATAGGCCTGTATTCTTTTATGGATGTGGGATGCTTCACCTTTGGAATTAGTGTAACAGAGGTTCAGTTTATAAGGGCATACATATCAGAAGTATGAAAAAATTGTAAGACAGCTTCTGTTACCTCCTCCCCTATGATTGGCCAAGCTTTTTTAAAGAAGTAAGAATTGAAACCATCATCTCCTGGTGCTTTAGAGTCCCCAATGCTCATCAATGCTGCCTTAACATCAGTATTCTTGAATGGTTGGATGAGAAGCAATTGTTGTTCTCTTGTAAGTAATGGTCCATCTTTTAGTATCTCAGGTTCAGTAGTTTGCATGTGATTGTTACATTGTCCTAACAACTTTTTATAAAACCCCACAGCCTCCTTTGTGACATCTGCTGCTTCCCTTATGACAGTTCCATCCTCTTTTGTTAGTATGTTGATCTGATTTTGAACCTTCCTACCTTTCATACTAGCAAAGAAATAAGCATTGTTATCATCCCCCATTTGAGCCATTGTATTCTGGACTTCTGTTTATATATATCTTCCTCAATCTTACTCCACTTTGTCAATTTTGTTCTTAATGCTTTCTCCTTATCAATACTGCCTTGTGTATTTGGACCTACTCTCATACTTCTTTGTTTATCTAGGAGCTCTCTTCTAAGTTATTGTACTTTCTTAGAAACCCCCATAAACTCTTTGTTATTTAAATGTTGCATCTCTTTCCTTACCCTTTTCAGGTTTCTCCAGACCCCTTTCATACCTCCACCTAATATTTGCCAGCCATCTTTCACTCTGTCCCTGAATTCTGGATGTTTTCCTATACAATTATAGAATCTGAAAGGTCTCTTCCTTGTACCTCTTTTTTCCTCCATTATCAAACCTAGGGGAGAATGATCTGAAAACAAAGGCTCCATAGCAATGACCTGTTGTGTTGCCATCTTATTCACCCATTCAGCATTAACTATAGCTTTGTCTATTCTACTATATACATGTCCATTAGTCCATGTGAAATTCCTTCCTCCTATCTGCAGTTCCACTAGATTAGAATCATTCACACACTCTTTGAAATCTTTTGTTTCTGCATCTTGAACTTGGCTTCCAACTATTCTATCTTCTTGTTCTAGTATAGAGTTGAAATCCCCCATAATCAGCCATGGCTCATTAATTTGACTACTCATCTTATGAATTGCTGTCCATAATGGTATTCTGGTACTTATAGTATGTAGTCCATACACAACAGTAAACTGAAATTGTGTATTGTTAATGTCCACCAAACCATGTATGTATTGTTCTGTATCTACCATTTTTGTGAAGCTTATTTCCTTGGAATTCCATGCCACCCATAACCTTCCTTTTACATTTATATTGGCATTTGAGCACCACTCCCAGCCTGGTAGACTTTTATTGATAATAACTTTTTCTCTATCTTGCCTTACTCTATGTTCACATACTACTATTAGATTTACTTTATTCCTTCTAACAAATAATCTGAGCTCCTTATGTTTCACCTCCTGGTTAAATCCCCTCACATTTCAAGTTACTATCAAGTTTTTGATGGTTGTATAACTGTCATTTCCATTCCACCACCTCATTCTCCCCTCGTGTGTCCTTCCTCATATATCAGTACCCCTGATTCAAAACCCTGTCCTCCTCTTGTATCTGGATTGTTCCTAGAGTCTCTTCTGCCAGAGGTTCTATGCCTCACAGTTTGCCATTCTCGTTGTTCCTGTGTTGTTTCATCCTCCTCATGATCTGATTTTTCCTGTGTGTTACCTGGATTCCTTGTGCCTTGCTTGTGGTTGGTATCCATTCTTTCCTTTGCCCTTGTCCCTGACTTTTCTTCTGGATCTCTATAGGTGCAACTTGTTTATCCACACATGCGTGCCCCACTTGTAGACATTTTTGGCAAAATATTGGTTTCCATTCATACCAAACTTTCTACTCCACTATTTTTCCTTTTGGATCCTGTATTTTAATCACCTTTGCCAGGGGTCTAGTTACATCTACTTCCACTAAAATTCTAGCAAAAGAGATTCTACTAGTTTGAGTTGTACATTCATCGGCATATAAAGGCTTTCCCACACTACTACCTATTTTACTCAAGACAACTGAATTCCAACAATTAAGAGGCAGATTTGGTAGCTTGACCCATAGTGGAATAGTAGTAAGAATCTCCTCCTTGAAATTGAACTCCGGAACCCATGGTTTCATTATGACAGGCCTTCTCAGTAAATGGTGAGGCCCTGAGCACAACACCATATCCCTGTCTTCCTCATTTGCAAATCTCACAACAAAGTAGCCATCTATATGATATAATATTATAGGTTTTGTGGAGAAGTTTCCTTGTCCCATTATAAACCTCTCCATGGCTCCAATAGATGGAGCTGTTCCCACCACATATACTACTAGTGATGGAGCCCATTTCTCATCATCTTGAGCTACATCCTCAGGCAATATCTCCACTATTTTTCCCCATCCACAATCACTGGTGGTATGTAGTTAAGATTCATACCTCTAGTCGCCAAGCGGTTAGTAGCAAAAAGATTCGTCCACGGCTTCTATATTGATTCTCCATTCATTTTGAGCTTCCTCTGCGTATTGTTTGGTTTGCCCTGTGTTACTGTTCCATTGCTTCCCAGTAAGATCTGTGGTTTTCCAGATCCAGTTCCTCTTTGTTTTGACAGCTCTGGCCAATGTTCATCTACTACTGCTTCCCCCTTTTCCTTGCTTGTAGCAGTCATCGGAGCTGGTGATGGTCCATCTGGTGTATTCTGTTGCATTTCATCATTTGTGTCCCTCCTATTTGTCTGTGCTGCTGTGGTGCTACTATCTAGCCCATGGTTTATCTCCTCCTCTCTCAGTCTTTGCGTTGCTCATCGCGGTCGTCCCCTCCCCATTTCTGGCAAGGTGCAAGTTAGTGCACACTAACATGCGCCTAGAGAGAAAAAGTTGAGAGTTATTTTTAATTAATTATCATCATTATAATTTTATAATTTGAAATGTGTTTTTGATTTAGCAATTCGAGCAAAGAACCTTTGCAAAAATCAAATTGCAGCTTGATAATAAACATGTGACCATAACATAGATGCATCTATTAAAATCATAATATTAAATGGTCCACATGGCAAGTGAACGGGCCCATATTCACCTTTTTATACATTTCAAAATTACAGGAGATACAATCTCAACCTTAGCTGGTACAACGATAATTTTATCATGAGAACGAACAACACAAGAGAATTTTTGAAGAACTTATTATTTCTTCAATATATATAACCATATGAATTCTCATTTATTTTCGTATCATATTTGAACTGAGATGGTCATTAACCGGTCATGCCAACTGATATCTATTTCAATAAACTTCTAGTTAATTTGCATGTGATTCCATCATCATGTCCACATTTAGTTACCACAAACAATAGGAAAACATATGTAATCTTTCAAGTAAATATTTATAACCCACTTTGATTATAATAATATGAAGATCTTAAATCTTTCCATATTTTATAGTCTCAATATAATTTTTTCTTTGACTATTTCTTTGAAACTTAAAAAGTTTCTTACGAGACTTACTAAAATTCCAATATCATGAGCAATTTTATTTCTTTGGGTAGTAGCACATTAGATCATCAAAGCTCACAATTAACATTGGATACTACCACATATTTCATAACATTGTTTGTGTGGTGAACATCTTTTTCAAGGAGAAATTTATATCATTATTGTCATGGTCAAAATCATTACAACCAAAACTTGTTTCTTGATTTACTTTTGTCATTTGCATCTCCTCCCTTTTGTTTAATATCTAGCAAAATACTTTCGACACAAGGAGATATATAACCAATTCTTTTGCTCTTTCAATAGTTCATAATAAAACATACCATAATATTTGTGATGTACTAAAAGTACTTGACCAATGACCATTTATACCAACATAAAATTTCTTTGTTTCTCTCTAACCTCCCATAGGGGTGAGTTGTGGTAATTATTAAATCATATACGAGTATCTCTTTATTTATAATATTCATCATCTCTTGACACATTCACTTTCAAGTATAGTCCACTTCTCATGATACTTATCACAAATAACATTCTCTTCAAGGAATTGACTATAATCATACATACATGATTTATAATTATATATTATTAATTTTTTCATTAGAAGTTCATTGTCATGCTTTGAAATTTGTCATATTCATATGACATACACATACCTCGACATCACTTTTGAAAGTCAAGTGTATCACCACTTTTTCATCCTTTTCTTTGATGGAGGATTTATAAAATTTATCAAATTATTAGGTCTCATAACAAAAATGTTTCTAATGACCTTTCATACCATTTTTCATGACAAAAATTACCTTCACTCTTCAAAAATTCAATTTTGAGAACTCATGTACTGCTACCACATTCATTTTAGAGAATGAAGCAAAATTAAGTATTTCATAATTTTTCATCAAGAGCACATCTATTTGCTCAGTCATCATTGTCTCATCAGTATATTGCATTAGAATTTGAAATGAAGGTTTTTTTTTATATAAGAAGGCTTGTAGGCCATATTTAGTGGGACTTGAATCCAATATCTTATCATCATAGTGCATCAAAACTTTAATTGATGTCTTACCCTTTTGGTGCGATGAAATTGAATTCATCGTCTTACCTTTAACCATTGACATAATAAGCCAAAATGCAACTGGAATCACCCTACAACCTTTAACATTATTACTACTTTATAATTATACACATAAATATTGAATTTATCTACAACAAAAAACGTTGTTTATCTTAGAAAATATGTAGTTATCATTATCAAATTTTTTCAAGAAAAATGAGCAATTGAAACTTCCAAATTATTTAGGATTTTTGTTATCCATGAGAAATAGGATATTAAATCCACATCATGATGACAAATAAAAAGGTCAAGATGTAGAAATATATATTTCAACTTAAACATTATAGTAGGTAAAAATTGCTCCAAATTCCATCACTACTAACATGTGCTTCTCCTTAAAAAAAAATACTATCTTACTATCTTGAAATATACATAATTACATTTTGTAGATAAACCCAACTTCTGATAGATACTATATGTTCTAGAAATTAATTTACTTCAAAATCATCAATTAAATTAACAAGACAAAAGATCATAAGATGACTTCACGATAAATTAATAGATTCAGCACTAATATAATTAGTAGTTCATGATCCATTCAAATGAGAAACAAACATTTACATCTAAATAACTTGTTCTAGAAATCCCAAATTTCCGACAAAATAAGTAATAAAATTTCATATTCCATATGATAGTCTATCAAATTTTAACAAGCACAAAATTAGGAAGGCAAATTTAAATTTATATTTTCCTTCTTACATCCATGGTTAGTTCAATAAATTAAGGAAAAAAATAATTAAGATGAAGAAGCTATAAGCAACTAATGAGTAACAAAATTATCGAAAGATGTTTCCATATCGTGGTAATATTAATATTGTAAGGTGAACTTGAGTTTTAGAATACCTTAATTCTTAATTGTTGATGCATAAAATCAAACATATAAATATATATATATATATATATATATATATATATATATATATATATATTGGACTTAGCACAGTTAAATCATTTATTTTCGTAACATCTTCTAATGTGAAGTATAAAAGGTAATCATCTCATACATGATAATCTTGAATCTTGACAGTTGACAAGGGCAATAAACAATCATTAGTGAAGAATTGTTTAAAGTTGAGAAAATAAAATTTATACCTTTCCATAAATGAGATGTATGGACAAAGACTAGATAACTAGTAACATATACCTTTTGCTTTCTTTATATGTTCAATGAAAAAGAAAATTAGTTCAACTCCTTTTAGTAAAAGATTAGAAGTTATCTCAATTGGTTAGAGACTCATGCTGATAACGTATTATAAAATAAGAGGAAACTATTAAACTAAAATAACAAAAGAAGAAGAGAAGATATTTCTATATTCTTTGATATAAGAAATTGAGAGGAAGAATATTTAGTCTTCTTTACTTTGCTTCTCTTTTCTATGTATTACATTGTATACTTGAATAGCTATTTATAGCCAAGGAAAATGAACATACTTGAGGAAAGGAAATTGCTACAGTGCATGCCTTTCTTGGCCACCAAGAAGTAGGCTAATTGGCAAGTGGAGATAGGTCTTAAATGAGTGTGGGCCATAGGACATCCACATCCATCAATTATTTATAACACTTTTAAGTTTTGAAGTTGCTTATTATTATGAGTTAATGTCATGACCCGATTTTGAGTCATGATGGCCCTGTCATGATCCAAAGTACCCCCTAGACGTGACATGACGCATAGAACCTCAAAAGGTCATACACAAGCCACTCAGCATACATCATACAAGATAATAAAGTTTAAGAGTTTAAAAGACAGTTTATATCATAAAGAGTTTGTCAGAAACGTAGCAGAAGTCTAACATAGTCTCAAAGTCATCGAGTACATCAAGGGTGATTGAGACGTAACCCATACATCATATACAATCTGAAAAAGTAAAGACAATAACCAATCAAGGGTTCGGTCCTCGGGACATGAGGACTCACTAATCTTCAAAAGCTACTAATGTGATCACTAGCCATGGGGATGCGGAATAGGAGCGTCGGACCCTACATTAGTGAAATAATGTAGGCAAGAGTATGTGTTAGTACAAAGAATGTACCATGATAGCAATGCATATAATATACGAAATCATGCTAAAAAGGGACTTTACATGGTATGCAATGACCAAGCTAAAATCACGAGATAAAAGGGTTAGAAAACATAAATCATAAACATTGTCAATGCAAGCTAAACATCTTTAAAACACTTGTTTTGATACTTCTCTAAGTAACCTTAGTTCATTATTGTGGGAGATATACCTTTAACCAACATATAGACTATGTGAGCTATAACATGGAATGGTGTCTACCACACACCGAAAAGGGGTGCCCTCACTTGCCAAAGTAAGATCCATGAACTTTTAGCTTACGTGGATCCACTAGCTATTGTCTATCTAAGACAACATCCTATGATGGCACATAGGTATGGGATAAGGAGATTGCTACTAGAAACCCGACCTTAAGCTACAGAAGAGCTTCCATCTCAATATCATCTCGGTACTAAGCATAAATCCCACAGAATAGTGATTAATCTTAACTCATTTTATCATTATGAGACATGGGTAATCGCCACTTGTCTTATTATTAGAATAGCTCCTTAATCTTGATTCATCTTAGGTGAGAAAACCTTTCAACCTTGTGAATTCTTTATGTGAGAAAACTCTTTCACATTAATGTCTGAGTAGTAAGTGAGAAATTATTTCACAACACAACAACATTGATACTTCACTCTCAAAGCATCTTTAAAACATTTTGATAGATTTCATTAAGAACATGCATATGTTCATAAATTCATCTTTCATCTTTCAAAGGCTTCATCATAAGATTAATTCTAGAAATCATGGATCATGCATGGGTTCATGCAAATTCAACTTAAAAACATGCAATTATCTCAATTTATGCATAAAAAGACATAAAACAACCAACTAGATCGTAATTGAAAAGAACCCATTAGATTGACTAAAATCCCTAACTTCTATAGGAGATTCTAACTTGCGAAATTGGAGAATTTAGTAACTCTATGGAGGAAAGGACTCCATGGGTGAATACTATCATACCTTGATGCCAAAAGCTTGCAATTAATGGTGAATTTGGAGACTTGATCTTGAAACCCTAGACTTCATCTTCTTCTTCCTT